TGATTCCGGGATATGGTGTAGAGCTCGCCCTCAAAAGAACTGACTATATTGTGATTGATGACCGCAAAGACGATGATGAGGGAAAAACTAAATCCAAGACCGAGGCCAAGGTCAAGTTTGAGGATGAGGAGGTAGCTGATCTCAAGCCCCTCTCCACATCAGAGCTTTCTTCACTGGGGCTCAAAGCATCTAGTTTCATTATGCAGAGTGACGAGCCATTCGATTCCCTCATCAAGCTTTCACAAGACTTTCCAAAACATTCCAGTGCTATAGCTTCCCACAACGTCTCTTCCGACTTCCTTGCGGAGCACAGTTACAACCGGGGCAAATTGGTTCCTGCAGGCATCAACGTATGGTGGATGAACGGTGTACAGATGATTGACCGTCAGATCGATGCTATAAGTATCCTCGATATCTTACGAAAGGAAAGACGGCTGATCAATGGTGTTCGCGATCTTGGGTTGACAGGACCTGAAGCTGTTCAGTTACTTTCCCATTCTAGCATTTCCGAAGCTAAGAGTGATGGAGACGTTCAAAGATTTGATTGGAGAGATGAGATTGAGGGAGGTGGTGTCATCATGTGGTTGAATGACATCGAAAAGGATAAACGCTACCAAGAATTTCCCGAGACTCTTGGCGCTTTACTACAAAGAACATATCCTGGCCAGCTACCCTCAGTCCGTAAGGAAATTTTTAACTTGGTTATACCAGTGGATTTCAGCACGATAGAAGATGTCGCACTCGTCGCCGAAACACTTGCAAGCTTTGTCAAAAGGAAGTTAGTACTCCATATTGGGCTGGTTCCAATCACCACTTCTCCGGCAGCTGTAGAGCAAACAAGAGTCTTGTATCACCTTTTGGATGTTTATGGACTCTCTGGAGCCATTGCTTATCTTGAGGCCTCCGTTATGAACGGGGCAGCTAGCCCTACCGAAAAGTCTTTCCAAGCCGCTATTGAAGGACGGGAGGTTCGAGCCGAGAAGATAGCGATTCCTCTTATAGATTTACTGAAGTCAGATCATTACAACGATCAAATTGATGCTGCAAACCGCTGGACCACAAGACTGTCTGCGAATGGCGACTTTCCACCAATCTTCGTCGATGGAGTCGCGCTCCCCAGAGACGAAAATTGGTTGCAAGCAATGGTTCAGCGACTCACCGCAGACTTGCAAGTTATTCAGCAGGGAGTTTTCAACAAAATATTCGACCAAGAATCTTACATCCCAGACTTCTTCCTCTCCGAAGCAACGCCTCGAAGAAATTCCCTTATAGTTCCAGAAAGCGACAAGAATCTGAAGATACTCGATGTCACCACTCTTTCGAAGCAACATGGCGATCTTCTTTCCAAATTGCCCAAGATTGGATCAGATTCGGCATCGCCTAAGGAGGATTGGGCTCACATGATTTTGGTAGCGGATTTATCATCTGCTTCTGGTTTGGACCTCCTTTTATCCGCGGCCACATTTCAGGAATCTGTTCCAGCTCTCGAGATTAGTATCCTCCATAATTCTCCCGGCGGAATGGAAACATCAGATTTCAGCACCCATTTGTTTTCACATATCCAGAAAATTTCAGACAAACCATTTGTGGACGCACAAGTTCTGCCGAGCTTAGTGAGCCCTGAAGGACCTGAATTGGATCTTACGACTCGAGATTTAGCAAGGACTTATTGGAAGGAAGCTATTCCATTGGTCCGAGCTGCAGGCCTATCACCAGGTGAAAATGGCATCTTGCTTAATGGACGGCTTGTTGGGCCCATACCTGCTGATTCCGAACTTAACCAAGAAGACTTTGAGCAGTTGATCTCATATGAACGTGCCAGACGCATAACTCCTGTTTATGATGCCATGCAAAGTCTCGGATTGTTAGATAAGATTGCTGATCCTTTGGCTGGTGCCAAAATTTCCTCGATGGTTGCGTTGTCATCTGTGTCAGATACACCCGATGGCATATTCGAGCAGGCACCAACTAATAGAATCAGTGCATTCGATGTTTGGAACTCTTCTTATACATCTATAGAAACAGGAGATTCATCAACTGCAACCATACATATGACTGTTACTATCGATCCAGCTAGTGAACAAGGGCAGAAGTGGGTACCAATCGTGAAGGCTATATCTGAACTCGAAGGAGTCTATCTTAAGATGTTCTTAAACCCCAAAGAACGTCTCCAAGAGCTTCCAGTCAAGAGGTTTTATAGATATGTTCTAGATTCGCAGCCTAATTTTGACGACGAAGGTGCTTTGATTGAGCCTGGTGCCTCGTTTACCGGTGTGCCGCAGGAGGCCTTGTTGACTGTCAAGTTGGACATACCACCAGCATGGCTAGTTGCCCCTAAAGTTTCTATCCACGATCCAGATAACATCAAACTCAGCTCTATCAAGGCTGACGTAGATGCGTTATATGAACTTGAACATATTCTGATTGAAGGCCACTCAAGAGACATGCCATCTGGTAGCCCTCCTCGCGGAGCACAGCTCATTCTAGGAACCGAGAGAGACCCGCATTTTGCTGACACCATAATCATGTCTAACCTAGGGTACTTCCAATTCAAAGCCAATCCTGGTTTTTACAAGATCGATCTACAGAGTGGAAGAACCTCCGAAATATTTAAAATTGATAGCATAGGCTCAAAAGGATGGGCACCTGTTCCTGGTGACAATACTACAGAAGTCGTTCTGATGAGCTTTCAAGGAGCCACTTTATATCCTCGTCTTTCTCGCAAGCCTGGCATGGAAGGAGAAGATGTCCTTGAAGCTAAGGTTGAATCTGCAATGGATTACGTATCTCGAGGATTAAACTTTGCGCAAGGCATCCTAGGTAGCAAAACAAAAGCTGCTGCAGCGGTGGAGGAGGAGGCCGAGATCAACATCTTTTCTGTTGCTAGCGGTCATCTTTATGAACGTATGCTGAATATCATGATGGTCAGTGTCATGAAGAATACGAAACACACGGTAAAATTCTGGTTCATTGAGCAATTTCTATCACCATCCTTCAAAGATTTCATTCCTCATCTTGCCGCAGAATATGGCTTCAAATACGAAATGGTAACGTATAAATGGCCTCATTGGCTCCGAGGCCAAACGGAGAAGCAACGTGAGATCTGGGGCTACAAAATCCTCTTTTTGGATGTTCTTTTCCCATTATCCCTAGACAAGGTCATCTTTGTGGACGCCGATCAAATAGTTCGTACAGATATGATCGAGCTCGTAAATCATGACCTTCAAGGTGCACCATACGGCTTCACTCCTATGTGCGATAGCAGAACCGAAATGGAGGGTTTCCGTTTCTGGAAACAAGGCTACTGGGAGAAATTCCTTCGCGGCTTACCATACCATATCAGTGCCCTTTACGTTGTAGATCTCCGCCGATTCCGCCAGATCGCTGCGGGAGATCGTCTTCGTCAACAATATCAATCTCTCTCTGCAGACCCAAATAGTTTGTCAAACTTGGATCAAGACTTACCAAACCATATGCAACAGGTTCTTCCTATCCATAGTCTACCGCAAGAGTGGCTTTGGTGCGAAACTTGGTGCAGTGATGAGAGTCTCAAAGAAGCGAGAACGATTGATTTGTGTAACAATCCGTTGACCAAGGAACCAAAGTTGGACAGAGCAAGGAGACAGGTACCGGAGTGGACCTTGTATGACGATGAGATTGCCGCTGTTGATAAGAAGAGAAAGGGAATTAATTTAAATGGAAATGAGAGTGCGGAGGGTAGAAATACGAAAAGTAGAACATTGGAGGATGCGGTTGATACAAAAACTAGGAAAGATGAGCTGTAGATGAGCGGACAATAGAGAATCGATCTTTGTATGATATAGAACATAAATTGATTTGTCTTCTTGCCTTTCTTTACGTGCTTGTTTGCTTCGTTCCGTTAATCTTTCAAGCTTCATTATTGCTGCATCAAACGAGGAGTGTTAGTAGCTACACAAGCATCATTGACTCAAGCCTTTGTAAGTCTTACATTGCATGCTTTATTGTAACTGATCCCCGTGTTTTCATCGCGCATTGTCTGATTGCTGTATAAGAATGAAATAAGGAACAGGTATGATCTGTATGAGTTCTGGATCAATTATTTCATTACGAACATCGTGTTCCTGGTATGCATCCTTTATATGCCACTCCATAGCTAGTAAGCTAGAAATTTATCCACTGTTTCAGCTCTATTAGAGACTTAGAGCTTGAATCACTTTGAGTACAAACACTATATCTCTACTTGTTTACATAGATCGAAGCTATGGTTATAGGACCAAAGAATCTAGAGAATAAAGCAGAGCAGATTGTATTTGAAAAGTGTAGAAGCACCTAGTGATTTATAGATCTTCAGAGTGAGGAGAATTCAAACTAAAGTAATGTATACTCAACACCAATAAAAATATAACAGATATTTATTTAGTCTGATATTAAATATAATAATACTCCTGGACCCTTGTACTTCCATCAGTATGTCTTTGAAGTGATATGGAATATTGAGCAGGTCAATTTCAGCTCTCTATATTGAAAGTTGCTTTAAACACTCCTTGTCATGAAAATGATTTTTCCCATATATTGTGAATTATGATCAAGACAAAAATAACCAAAATCACATGCAGTTCACACATTGCCCCTTAGCACAATAGACGTCAGTCTTGGTTCGAATTCACCCCTACTCAATGACTGAAGATTCAATAGAGGTTGGAGGTCCGAGCACATTCCTCTTGGTTTTGGCTGTTTAAGAGAGCTGTATCAAGTCAAGAACCTGCCACTCCAACAGTCCCTTACCCTTGAAATCTGCAAACCAGAGTCATCATTGGCACTATTACTCCTTGAGATTTCATATACAAGTTTCAACTTGCACCAACAAGAGAAGAATCGTGCTACTGAATATCAATAAAGAACACATTTTTTTTTTTTGGCTCAATCCACAGAGACCCGTCCTAACTCACTGTTACCACTTCTGGTTTCCACAAAGAGGTTATACAGGACGTAGACTGGAAGGTCAAACAGAATTCAATATGCCTTATAAGCCATTTTTCGTGAGTACTTTCTTTCTCTTCGAAACCAATCAAGCAGTTTGTCCTCTTTTAAATCTCTTGACTAATTGATTCGCAGCCGTTTAATCAGGACCATCCAACCTTTCCCGCCGAATTTCGCTCCCCTCAGAAAGATTTTTCTTCAAGGAACGCGACAAGAGGGGCTCATCCTGTCCTACAAGACGAACGAATGAACTTCAGCTTCATCTTCGAAAAAGGATGTCGCATAGCCTTTTCTGGATTTTTCCGTCACGGATCAAAGGACTTTTGTCTTGTCGAAAACATGAATCCTAACCTCCTCAAGGAGATCTTTTTCGAGATCAAACACAGTTCCAATCCTTCGGAATATGCAGATATCACCGCTGCAGTACTAGGAATTCGAGATGCGACCAAGTTCTTCTTCGTCAGCTGCGACTATCTTGACCCAGAGCATATTATTGTTCGCACATATGCTAAGCTTAGGGACTTCGATTGGAATGAACAGTCGCAGATTGATGATCTTAATCTCTTTCGGATGGCAGCTATTGTAGAGGGTTGTGGCATCATTGCTTTTGCTGAAGACAATACAATACTGCCCTTATCTGAGATGAGATCGAGGATTGAGGTAATACCAAACAACTCTGAGGCACAGAGTCATGTTCTAGCTTCCCAACCTGTGCCTCCAGAAGCGCAAGATTTGCAAGCACATCCGTCGGCACCAAAGTTCCAGTTCCGATCAGCTGCACCGCCATTCCAACCAGTCACGTCCATAGTTCAGGTCAATGACAGGCAGCTCCAGTTTCATGCCGAATCACTTGAAAGAGACCGAGTTTGGGGAGCACTGGGAGTCAGTCAAGGGCTGCAGAGTCTAATACAGCCCGTAGGACATGTGCCACACCCATCAATTCAATCAAATCGCAGTCATGAAACATTGCACCAGTTTAATCAACGACAGGTCGGCAACCAAGGCCAAAATCCGAGATCCGGAATGCAGCAACAACTTGAAAGAGCTGTATCTTCTTTACTTTCTCACCAGGGGATTATGACCCAATTTCAAAGACAGTTATTTGAGATGCGACAATTGCCTATCCATCATGGAAATGATACTTCCTATGCTCAAGGGTTCGAAATGTTGCCACAACAGACACAACAAACTTACGGACATATTCCCCAATATACAACATCACAAAACTACACTCCACCACTGGACCGAAGATACAATTTGTTGCACCAGCATCATCAGCAAGGCTTAAACCAACAACATGGCCAAGGCCAACAAAACGTTGAACAGCTTCAAGTTCATGGACCTCACGCACCTCGTCAACACATCCAAGGAAATCACAATAACATCCAGAATGTTGTAGCCCTTCAACAAAATACCCAGCAGAACCCTGTCCCGCTCCAAACAGAAAGATACGGGGGACCCCAGCAGGCACTGCAAGGTTATTATCAGTATGAGAACTTAACGGCTGCAGACTTTCAACAGTATGAACAAAACGGTGACAATAATCAAGATTTAACCTCACAGAACGTACAATCTGCGCCTGAACAAAATGACCTGGACCCTCCCTCTGAGTCCAAGTACTGAAGGCTAGATATGGACTTCTTGGAGCAAAAATAATACACCTGAGTCCCGAGACTAGTGCAGCCGCAGAGGTCAATTATCAGAGTTCTCTAAGTTCCATGCTTACATGGGATTTGTCGAAGAGCTTCTTCTGTACTCGTATGAGTGTCGAAAAGTGTTATAACATGCGACTTCTATTGTATAATGGCTGTCGGCGACTTATGAGTCCTTCTAAGGGTATTTATAGCGTGGCAGAATGTGATAATACTAAGATAAGCGTATGTTAGTGATATGAGCTTTCATGGCAGCCGGGAGAGGGAAGTAGAAAAATGATTGTGAATGAACCTGCTACTCTTGGAGCAAGAAATGCCGATTTTCTTGTTCGCTTCTACTCAATTAGTGTTGCGTTCCCTTGGTATCAGGTGTCGAACAGACTATAAGGTAGTCACAGCAGAATACAAATGATGGAAAACTTCTCTCAACAGGGTCAGAGAGGATTAATGGATCAGAATGTACAGAGAATTACTCGAACCAGCCGCATGACGAGGTGTTTACTTACAAAGGCGGTTACTTGACCGTGCCGTGTTATGCAAAAGTTTCATAACTTCAGGAACTCCACATCGCAGACATATCTCCCAATGACCACAGTGATGGCGAACTTCATGAATATTATCAGGTCTTTCAGAAACTCCCAAGACAAAATTGGGTGAATTTGCTGCCCTAGCCATGTTTGACTCGAAGCGAAATCCCGTGACTTCTAAGAAAGCAGTGTACAATTGAGTTTCTTCCCTCCTCCTCTTTTTTGCTACGGCAACCAGTCCTTTTATGTCTGTTTTGCAACCAAAATCCTTCAAGTTGCGGAATAAAGACGACCATATAATCCTTGCATATTTCTTTTAACCATACAATTTAGAATTATAGCGATCAGAGTTGCCATCACTTGCACGGTTGTTGTCACTGAGCACCTAGTCTCTTACTTCTCCACCGAATATTCCTCAAGTTTGAGAACAATAGAGTTCCAAAATACTGGTAGGGTCCCTATGATGATAACCTTTTGTCTTTGTTGTAGTCGGTTAGATTTGCTAATAATGCCAGAAAGATAGCAGCTCATACATACAGGAACCGATTGTTTTCAAGGTAGGGCAGATCCAAATTATCCAAAACAAACTCAGGAACTGTCGCATAACAGAAAATTCAATCAATCAGCACGCAAATAGCAAGCAGCTCAAGTTTTACAAAAACAACACCGTTGTTGGCCATTGATAGCGATTGGGTTGCCCTTCACCTTTCAGATACTTGTTCAAACCAAGCAATTTGAGTTGCACTGAATTCCTACATACATCCCTCACAAGTAGCCCTACTCAATTTTTCATTAGAACATTCAGGATTAAGTAAGTCCAACAAGTGACTCTACCTTTCAGCATGCTAACATGGCTCTAGAACGTTTTGAAGGCATTCACCAGAAACGATTTTCAACATCCTCTTTTAAGACTTGAAATTACTACAAACTCATTATGTCTCCACCTCAGATATCTGTAGACGTTGCTTTGACCTTGCTTGTATGTTTAGCTATGATATAACATGTATCCTTGATGAGGAAAAATATACTAATTGATGTCCAGAGGAACAGCGATACTGATTTCCTCATCGGCTATGAAAATTCGGTCCCTGATCCGAGATCATTGACAATCGAGCAGAGAAAAGACATCACTGCCGCTGTCTTGGGAAATCCCGAGCCTCATAAATTCATCCATTTTCATTTTTGGGGAGTCGACGACGAAGTAAGATCTAAGCAAATTATCATGCATAGATATTCCCATGCCCGCCACCACGATTGGTATAATCATGATGATATCAATAAGCTCAATGTTTTTAGACTTGCTGCCGTCACATTTGGATTGACTGGCATTGATATTTCAGTTGGAGAGAGATGCTGGAGCGTTGTACCCAAGTCACTAAAGAGAGCATGGTTCCCAAATCTGGTACAATGTGTCGACGAACGCAGAGCTGAGTTTGCCAGATATTTGGCTAACGCGATGCTCAATGAATACATGATTGATGGAGAGGCTGATGGAGGTGATGGTATTTATTCCAGATATTCTGAAGAATTTGAGATTGTAACTGATATTTTTGAAGCTCAGAATAACTCTATCGATCTAGTTCAAAGCGCCAGTCAAACTGCCCTCGCATCTTCCTCTGACATCTCCGTTGGATCGTTAATTTTGAACCCAGAATTGGTCTCTGCTTCCACAAATAGCGGTTCGCCAATAGCTGGTCCTCAATCATCGAGTCTACCTGCAGAAATCGAATCGCTGGATCTCAACGACGACCCTGATGCAATGGACCTTGAGTTGGAGCATTCCGTCAACAATGAGGACCATGGAGAGATTATTTTGCTATAGAGAGCAAGGGAGCTGCAGGTGAAGAAAGTTTCTGTGTCGGTAAGTTAATCCAGAACTTAACTTTTGATCCAAGCTAATGTCAATCTTCCAGAATAACAAAAGCTTGCGTTGATGAATTTGGACGTATTTAGACCTCAGTAAATCTCCAAAGAAGTTTGAGAAACGTCTTCGGTATTCGTGCGATTCAATCCTCTAAACCAAAAATCGTGTTGCTCAACCACCAATGTCTCACCATCGGCAGAATATTCACATGGATCTGCCTTAAATATTCTACGAATTCAACAGCGATATCTCTACAGTTTCACAAGACTCTCATCTCAACAAGCTTTCTTACTACAAGCCTTCATTCTATCAGCGCTCATTACTGCGAAATGTACTCTTGGCAACCTTATGTCTAGGAGACAACTGTTTTTCTTTGATAATTGTCCATGGCAAAACCCCCCCCGATGTTGGCATAGCGAGTTCACTACGGTTGGCCTTTTGAATGCTTTTTCCTTTTTTGTCGATTTCTTTAATTCCCTTGATGATAATAAAGCTGGTGTATTTCGTTGCGGGAAATCTGTTGGACACAGACATGGCTTCGCTCGGATTTATTGTTCCTCTGTCAATATTGGGTCTTCGTCACGATATTGGATCCACACCCCTCGACTACATTGCACTTGCTTGTAGTTCGCCCAGGAAGTCATCATAGCTACTTAGTTAGTTTATGCGATAAGATTCATTTTGAATTAAACAAGTTCACACGGATCTTCAACTCACTCGCTGATAACACATGACATGACTCTTGACTGATTATGCTAGTACATGTAAGAACCGCGCATCAAGAGTAGAATATTTGACTCTAAGATTGATCACCTCTAGTTGAGACCCATGAATCGCAGCTACCTTTTCTCCATTGTGAGCTCCAGAACTGTGAACGGAACATCTCAAATCCGGGGCTTGTCTTTCAGCATCACAAATCAAGATATAAACAGTTAATTCTATTTTAATATATTTCTACATAACTGAGTAATTATCATCATTAAAATCTGAGGTGTATCGCGAGCGCTGAGATTTTAAATAGCGGGACCTCTTCCAATCCAGGTACGATAACTTCTGAAAGGACCTCTTCGCTTATCAATGTTCTTATACTGTCTACCAGGAGCGAGTCCTTGTTGATTAGTCGTGAAATATAGCCACCCATCCAAGATAGCCATTGTATCAGCAGCCTGAACTTGACCACCACGAACAAGGGTCTTGAGGTTGTAATTCGCAGCTGCTACCATGCCTTCACCACCGGCTGGAACACCGTTGACCTCATCGGTGACTTCGGATTGGCGAGTGTCGGCATAGAGAATTGCATTTTGCTGCGGTAAAAATTAGTAATAGTATTGAATCATAGAATGTAAGTAACATACAGCAGAAGCACAAATGTATACTCTTCCACGGTCATCAGCTGTAAATCCTGCCTGCTCAGATGGGAAGTTGCCAGGATTTTGAACCACAGCTTCAATCTCTGCGTCTGTTAAGTTAGAGATGAAAGCTTCCTGAGACGCAAAGTACCAGTGGTTAGAAGCCTTGACACCCCAATACACATTACCCCCAGTCAACGCGATACCGTTTGTTCCAGAGTTGAGATTTGAAGATGTAGTACCGACCCAGTTTCTGATGACTTCTCCATTGTACATGGAGATAAAATGTGGATCAGGGGTAGTAAAAGTGCTATTGAAGAGATGTCTAACGGTAGCTCCAGTATCGAGGTCTATGGTTGTGATAGAGCCATATGCTGAGTCCTCGGTAACGAACGCATATCCGGCGGTGCCAAGAGTATTATTGACTTTAATATCATTCAACTGGATTTTGGCATAGTAAAGCTCAGGTGGATAGATATAGTTACGGATTAGCTCTCCGGTAGTGTAGTTGAATGCCATAATTTTAGCTCCATAGGTTGTGGGGTAGGAACTAAATAAATGTCAGCTGATGTTTCACACTTCAAAAAAGCACCAAGCCCCTGAATTCGTAGACGAAGAAATAGAAAGATAAACATACGCTCCATTAGGCACTCCACTATCAATAACCCAAAACTTTCCTTCCGCGTCCAAAACCACATTCTGTACGTTTACAAAGCACTCTGAAGCATTTTGGCCCGCAGCACAATTTTGCCATTCAGCTGATGGCCATGGAGCTTCACTATTGAAGCCTGTTGCTTTCGTGAGAGTCCAGTTTTGTGGCTCCATATTCCGTGCATAGGTGAAGAAAATGTTGCCATCCGGATCCAAGCCTAATCCAGTGGGAGCACGTACATACTCGTGAACGGCTTCTAATCCCAGCCCAATGACATCTAAATCGGCGGAACATTGTCCAATGGTGGTGAGATTGGTGCGCTGTTGTGATAATGGAATTGGACAGGTGCCATTGAAGGTTTGAGCAGCTGCTGTCGCTGCAAATGCAGCGAGAAGGAGTAACATTCTTACAGGTGTAGATTTTTCGCGTATTGACGAAAAGAGAGGAAGACAAAGAAACTAAAAAAAACACGAACTAAAATCAAAATTCAACATCATTGGGCGGGAGGTATGTATATATTTGAATATTTGGAGATGGCTGCGCCTACAGTCATGGCAATACTGCGGTACTGAAAAACTTCGGCATTCCGATTTAAGGTTGATGATGATGATATTCGGAACTTGGCACTCGCTTGGCATATTCCACAATTTAAGTCAACTACCCCACTTTCCGACCACCCCCTCTTTTCGACCACCTCAAAAACCACACCGCTTTGAGTAATTATAAAATTTATACTTTGAATAGCTCAACAATGCTTTAATCAATTGATTTGAAATTTTGATATTATTATAATTGTGATATGAAGAATAGATATACCGAAGAAGATATCGCAGAGGCTCTTAGAGCGATTACAAATGGAGCAAGCATACGAAGAGCTAGCTTGGATTATGGTGTTCCACGTACCACACTTCACGATCGAATATATGGTGGAGTTTCGCATCAAAAAGGCGCCCAAATACTTCAAAAGTTATCTCCAATTCAGGAGAATCGACTAGCAGAATGGATATTAGTACAGGAAGCTCTTGGTACTAGCCCTACACATCGTCAAATCAGAGAGATGGCAGAGCACCTCCTTATTGTACGAGGGGAGGATCCCTCACTTGGAAAGAAATGGATACATAGCTTTTTTCGAAGGCATCCTAATATTGGAACTAAGAAGCAACATCAAATCGATTCTGCACGAGTTTCAGGTGCTACATCTGATATTATTAAGAAGTGGTTCCGGAACCTCGCAATCCCTGAAATCAAGGCTATTAAGCCGGCCAACAGATGGAATATGGATGAAGCAGGTATAATGGAGGGTCAGGGTCTTAATGGACTAGTAGTAGGAAGCACTGATCGAAGATTTATTCAAAAAAAGCAACCTGGATCTCGAATTTGGACCTCTTTTATAGAATGCATTTCAGCCAATGGAAAAAGCATTACTCCCCTTGTAATATATAAGGGAAAATCAGTTCAACAACAATGGTTTCCAACAGATTTGACTCTATTCAAGGGTTGGAACTTTACCGCTACAGAAAATGGATGGACTACAGATGCTACAGCTTTAGAATGGCTGAAAAAGATCTATATCCCTCAAACTACCCCTATTCAGCCGGAAAATTCAAGACTCCTCATTTTGGACGGACACGGAAGCCATGAAACTACAGCATTTATGTTAGAATGCTTTAATAACAACATATATCTCTTACTTCTCCCACCACATACGTCACACGTACTACAACCACTCGATTTATCTGTGTTCTCACCCCTAAAAAGTGCATATCGAATCGAACTTAATAAATTAAGTCTATCATCCGATTCCTCACCAATTGGAAAGCGCAATTTCCTTTCTTGCTATCAGAAGGCTAGAATAGAAGGTTTAACTATTCAAAATATCAAGTCTGGGTGGCAAGCTAGTGGTCTTTGGCCCAAAAATATGGCTAAACCTCTTATGAGTCGACTTTTGCTTGAAAATAGCAATAGAGAGGTTTTATCACTTAATCCTGAATCTGATGATGATCCTATTCTTCAATGGAATATATATTCATCGTTTATTCAATGGAAAACCCCTCAAAAAGGAGCCGATATCAGAAAATATAGAGATATAATGATTCAAGAGAAGGAGATCGATTTGCCAACACGAAGATTACTATTTCGCAAGATTATAAAAGGATTCGATGCTAAGGATTATGAACTCTTAGAGGCAGAGAATAAGATTAGAAAGCTAGAATATCAATTAGATGAAGCATTACCTAGAAAAAGGCGAAAGGTTGTGGTATCTCCAAATTCGAAGTTCGCAGGGATTAGAGCTATAAGGCGTACACAAATTGAAGCTGGAGATCGTGAAGATGAGGTAGATGATAGCTCTAGTGCTATAGAAAGTGATTCTACAGGCGATTTCATTGAAGTTCAATAGTTATTGAGTTATTAAAGTTTTAAGTGTAGATAATATGAATTTTTTAGGTGGTCGGAAACAGGGGGTGGTCGGAAAGTGGGGTAGTTGACTTACTTAGAGGCTCCGGCGAACCCTCCACGGCCACTTGGCGCATAACATTGTGGAATACGCTCAAATGAGGTGAGCGTAACGGCTGGCTCGAGTGGATCACCAAACACCTTGTTGAATAAACTGGAGGGAAAATTGTTTGTCCCAAGCAATTGGCAAACTTTCTGCGGTATTTTGTGCATAAAGCGAACAAATTCGCGTATTATTTTTACGAACTGTCATCTGTCTCGGAGGTTAAATTCTGAGTAAGACAAGATTTGCTTACTTACAATTTCTACAAAGCTCAGAGAGGGCATCTGCCGCGCCAAGTGGATGCCGCAGACTAACATAGCTAGTTACCAACTGCGACCCCCTTTTCTTCATAAGTCCCAAAATTGCTTCTATTTTCCAGCAATTCATGTTAATTGTATCCTTATGTCATGTAAGATAGAAGCACAAAGTGTGCTGATGAGAGACTATGGACGAGTAATATGACAATACTCCGTTATGGAAACCTTTTCACAGTTTTGTATTAACGTGGTTTATCAGTACATACATTATATCAATATATGCACCACTTCAAAATACATCAAAATTAGTCTTTTATTAATATTTTTATTTAAATTATTAATCATTATTTTTTTTAAAAAAAGTTTCCCTATAAATAATAAAAATAAAATATTTATAAAATTTAATCTTTTTATAGATATCTCAATTGTAATTTAAGAATATTATACTTTACATTACAAAAATCAATTTCTTTGAATAATCTTATTATTATTATAAGATTTTACTATTTTAATTCATTTTCATATTATTTATATAAATAAATATAATATATATAAAGAAAAATTAAATTATACTAATAAATAAAAAAAGTGTATGATTATATACAGCCGTTTTTTGTATATAAAAATAATAATATATATACTGATATGGTATACGTACTAATAAACCACGTTAACCAAGCTTCATTATCTTGTTTTCTCATGTAGTGGGGCATTTGAATCGAGCTTCCAGTGGTCAAAATTGCCTAAGCGACCCCCCCGATGCCAATCCCCAAATTGCTTCAATATTCAAAGATCGGAACTACCGGGTACTGTCCACAAAAGGGACTCGAAGAAAGACTCTTTGATCGGATGTACCTGGATCTTGAGATCGAGAATATTGGAGTTGCTGTTTGGCTCTGGCTACCGATTAAGTCAAGTTCATAAATTAGATTTGGTGGACACTGAGTTGAGGGATCCATTGTTCGGAGCGGAAAATGCTGAGAATGTAGAGTAGTTGGGAAGCTGGATGAAGCAGTCTTCAGTACTTAGGAGGATAGATAATAGGTCGGTAATTGTAAAGAATAAACAAGCGCATTAATATCTTATGTCCATCTCTAGGTTCCCCAGAGCAAAGAGGAAATACTTGGAAGATGTAACCTTTTGATAAAGATCTTCCGTTGAAAAATTGAGATTATCTCCTTGTTCTCTCTAAATTTTGATCTTATTCCATTCATTGCGAGTCACTTCAATCATAGTTCGTGTGCAAAGTCCAGGCTTCAAGAATAAAATATATGCGTCGTGTACCCAAAGATTCGATAAGTGAAGCAACGGATTCAGAATTCATTACCTACCCGGGTGGGCTTCGTTACATTGTAGCTTTGTACTTGAAAGTGGTATTCCTGACTGTGGTTTAGCAATTATATAATAAAGAAGAAATAGGATAGGCTTTGATATGGCTCTGCATATTCTTTACTTAAAATGCGATAAAAGGCAGATTATGAATGTGCAAGTGAAAATGATTGAATCCCAGTGATTGCCTATGTGTTCTTATACAATTATTTTTGGTATTCACCTAGAGAGCTACCTGTAGAAGCTACCCAGTTTCGTTAACCATTGGACAAATCAATTTCATCTGATGTCATTTGAATCAATCACCCCCTCCCCCTCCTACTTGTAGTAAATAATAATGTTAGAAACCACAAACTCCACAAATAACTCTGTCTAATTACTTTCCTGAATCATTTCACGAATAATGTATTTGTATTTGATAACATTTAGTTCGAGTTAGTTTCCTATAACAAATGTGAATAATGAATCCTTGGACATACTGTCGTCGACCTGCCGACCAGCTGTATGTCGTTTCAGAACAAATGGCCGTACCTTTATTTATCTATATAAACAGATTATTTGAAAACCTGAGAACTTCTTTATTTCATTAGAAAACTCTTACATCAAGGATCTGAGAAATTTTATCCTTGGAAAGACCTTCAAGGACAAGATACTCATACAAAACAACCAAGTTCACACCCTCTGTGCATATTTTGATACTTGCAACACACCATCGTTCAAGGCATCTATTTTGCAGAAGTTGTCTTAGTTCAGGACATCAAATTTTAAGCATATTCTACTATCAAAGACTTGAGAATCTACCCTGAGTTCACTACTCTCAACTGCTCCATGGTATCTACCTGAAGATTAGCCAGCAGTTTCACTCATCCCTAGTTTCTACTTGCAAAATCAAACAATCAATTATATTCACTAACCGTAACAAAGAATTAATCTAGGTCAAATGTCTCAGAAGAGGAACCAAGAACTTCCACCCACCAAAGCACCTCTTCCACCATTTGGACAGCCAGGTCACCAAGGAAAATCCGCCCTCCTCCGCGAAAACTTCCTCTGCAACCTCGCAGATGCGATCGTTCCTACCGGTCTCTTCGGTGATCATAAGAGACACCGCCGAGATAGTGCCTATAGGGCAGGGGACTTCAAGAAGGCTGATGTAGAGGCCCACGATGAGGAGGATGACTGGGTAAACTTGACAGACAAGACAGTCAAATCTGGTCCTCTGCAAATCACACCTCGTGATACGAAGTCTGAAGAGCATCGCCGCAGTCCCAGCATGAGTAAATCTCCACCGATGAATCAGGGGTTCAGCCAGGCTAAACTCAGTGCGGGATCGATCCAGGATGCATTTTTTGCTTGGGCTGTTACTGGTGATACAGATTTGACGCCTGCCGTTGTTGGCCAACCCGACAATTCCAAGTTCATCCTTCGTCGCTATGATATTAGGAGTCCCACAAAGATCGAGAAGAAGCGCATCGATTTGCATATCGATGAATTCGATTGGAGCAATAAGGAGCATGTTGATAGACTGAACAAGGCTCGTCGTCACTGGGAGATTAACACTCTTGAGTCAAACCCACAGACCAGTGGAAAGTCTCGGTAAGTTTCGCATGATCTGAGGATTTAGAGATTTCAAATTACTAACGATGATCGCTTTTAGCGTAACTATCGATGGTAGACGCTCTCCTGTTGATACATCCGTCGGAAGCTGGTCACCTGGCGACGAGGAGGGTGATGGGGATTCGATTGACTTCTAGAGCAGCTAGAAACTTGGCGAGCAACATCTGTCAGTCATTAACTGACTTTTGGGCGTATTGAATCATGATGGGACACGGACGGGACAGTTTCTTGGGATCATGGAGCTGCCGGATTTCTTCGACTATTTTGATACCATGGCATTCCACGGCGTTTGGAGTGTTTACAGACTGGGTTTTATACAGATCGAAATCAAGGTTCTGTGCATGCCATTTATGTTTATTCTTACATGTGACTTGTTTCATGATATGAATGCTAGCTTTGATCACTCTTTTGAAATTTCACACACGTCGCCGACACATAAAGCCCAAAATGATAAAAGTTAGCTTGATGATCAGATAGGGGGCTGCGACGCTCGAAGTTGGACTAGGTACACGCGGATAATGTTCTGAGTAATAAGTGCCTGCAGATGGAAAAGTTTCTGATTTTAACTTTGACCTAAAATACATTTGCTACCAAGACTAATCGAAATAAAATAATCATGCAGCGTGAAACCAGATCTGCTCATTTATCTCCCTATAGCATTCTCTCACAAGATTAATCATCTCTAATAATCTAGCTGGCCTGCACGGTATTTCGCTTGGAAGCTTGACGAGGTTCCTAATCCTCCTTTTTTCCTCTTTTCCTCTTTCGCCTCGAAGAGCTTGGAGGCTAGAGTGGAGGAGTACGTGTGAATTGTAATAATATGAGGCTAGAAGAAAACGAGCTGGCGGCTACTGATACGGGATTGGATCAAGACCCTCCTTCATACTCTTTGCCTCCATGCACAAAATATAGTTAAGCAATAGCTTCTTCTCAAACATTGAAATGGTGATGTAGTATCCTTCATCTCTGTGAGTTGGTATATAATATCCGCCAAAATCTTGAACAAATTCCGTTCGAATGCTTCAAAAGTTAACATATACGTTTCACTGGTTAGTCTAGATTCTGACAAGAGACAAGGTGAGATTTGTTTGAATTCTTCATTGAAACTATCATCTAGAAGAGAGACAAGGAGAGGGTCACATACTTCCTTTCATAGAACTTAGGATGTTGAAGAAAGCAAAGAGCCAACATGAGTCTTACATTCCATACACACCCGAAAATGGTGAATGAAAAAAGATAACATTTGAGGTTATCTTCATGCCGATGATATCCATACACCAAGGCACAAGATAGATCACAGTATTAAACAGAATGTTTTGAGTGGAACATGTACGGCTCTGTGGGAATAGAAAATGTATGTTCAAAAACAACAATACCATCCAAACCATCTAAAACATTCACTCCTCACTTTCCCCAGAAGAAAAATTGTTTCTACATATGTTATATATTATTCACATAGCAACCACCGTACCAAGGGCGGGGTAAAGGGTGATAGATGATTCTACCGCAGAATAAGATTTTCTATCAAGTTCAACATTGATACAAAAGGATCCCGAATCTTCATCTTCTTTGATTTCTTTCTTTCTCATAACAACTTCTTCCATCCTCACAACATCAACATCTCGATCTCATACAACTCTCTCTAAGTCTCTTAGCAACAACAATTCTTCAATCTTTTCTTGATATTGGATTTCCACATCTTTCGTCAGCATTAACATCTTTGACACGATTTCTTGATTTCTCGTGAGAATATCCTCGAAGTTTCCAAAAGTTCATTTCACCTCCAGTAAGCGCATCCTTTCCTTTCCAGCTCTTTCTATGCTATCTCTTTCTCGAGCCCTTTGCCTATCCTTATTCTTCACTCTTGCGAATTGAAGCACTTCTCATAAAAGCAATTCTCTTCCTGCACAATACACTTCCTCCACTCTCTCTATCCTCGCGCCTGAGCAGATAGATCAATCTCCCGCATTGCACTTAGCTCAACCACTCTTCACTTTTGTAAGTAGAGCCTCGTCGTAGAGTGCACTCTATTTCTGGACTATCTTTCTCTCAATCGTCCAGGCAAATCATCATTCCTTCTTGCGCTTGTGCATCGAATCTTCATCACGCTTCGTTGCATATCTTCACTCAGACTTCTTACCCCCTTGCATAGCAAATTCGTACACTTACTTTCATCTTTCGTCTTTGACTCAATTCTGTACGAGCGCACTTGACATTTTCCCGTCAGTGACATTACCTCACACAATCTCCAACTCAAATTTATCTGGTTCATATCATTGAACAGTCTTTAAGAATTCTCGTTTAAATACTGCATACGTTCCAAGATCTAGGCATTCACCTGAATTACCTGATCGAAGATCTCAAGTATTCATACTAATTCATTTTAACACTTAGCGAAAAATCGAAATCCGACCACAGACGAGTACACATAATGCAGAGTATACGAGAGATGGAACAGAACGGAGAAAAGAGCACGTATAGCTGTCCGAAGTCACCTCTTTGCAAAAGCTTGGATGTTCTCAGTGCCGCTGCTGCTTTCCAGGAAAAAGATCGAGCTCCTATAATTCACCGCGAAAATTTCGGAGATGAACAGCAAAGACCTGCGACTTCTTTTGTAGAGCGCGATTCGGGCCTTGTTACTGGGGGCGGTGGTGATGATAAATCTAGCAATACCCCCACCGCCGGTAAGAAGATTACCCACAAGACCCCTCTGCCGAGCGACCGTAGAGACGGATCAGAAATGCCACTCGATTCAACACTCAGTCCCTTACATTCTCCACATGTGCCACGGATCATCAAGGAGATACCCAATCCAATTTGCCCTTTCCTGTATAATCACTCCATCGGTAGATTTTGTTTTCATTGTCGATATATGGAAATGCCATGGAGAGACAGACTTCCAGTGGCTCTCGACACGAACGGCAACAAAATCCAAGTCCCCCCCCAAGGTGCATTGCTAGAGGGTGTAAGAAACTTAACTGAGCCCTTCGAGATTGCCCAGCTTGCTCTACTTATCGAGTTTCGCATCATAGAACAAGATCTTGCCACCATCCCTGGTCTCGTTGCAACTTTTAAGTACTTCCCACATTTGCATGATGTTGCTCATAGAATTGCAAATATGGTCAAAGAGCTTCGAACCTTGGCTGATGAAGGTGAGAGCGAACGAGTACCACAATGGTTCGATACACTCCATGAGTTGTTGAAAGATCCCAATTTGACGCACGACCGATACTTCGCACAGACAACTGGAGAGTGGAACTTCCAAGCAAAGAATCCAGCACCTGCCGTTAAAAAAGCTCGAATCTCAACACGATTTTTGACCGGTATTCCAGTGATGCTTACCAGAGAGGATGCGATAAACTATGAAAACACTCGCGACGGGCGCACCGAAGCTGAGGCTCGTGAACTTATGAATCATCTCAATAGGAACGAGAGCAGAGGTCCAGGATATGTTCAATTCACGTTCGACTTTGTAAGTTGGTTGAGGGAAGGAGCGCATAGCACTGGTAATGATGCTCCACAATGGAGTCCCCGCTACGTTCAAGAGTATTATACGCATATGTACCCCGCGTCTGCATTGGTTTATGGAACCAAAATAAACGGCACACGATCGCGTGGTCGGTTGGATTTTTCAAACCGCCATGACTCGACACCCAGAACACCACGTTTTCGCGAAGAGGCCTCGGAAGTTGAGCTCTACGATAGCAATGATGATGAAGAAGAACTTGAAGGGGCTTACTTTCGTAAGATTCCAGAAGTTAAGAAGAATACACCAGGTCGTGCCAATGTTACATGGCGTTTTGTTGAAGGAACAGACATCACAAATGCACAACTCGGAAACCCAGACCCTAGCAAGTTCTATTTGACTCGCCAAAATGTCGATGATCCCGAAGAAGTTGATCTCCGTCAATACGCACAAATTGCCGGATTTGACTGGAATGATCCTGCCGACATCAAGAAGCTCAATAAGGCTAGAGCTCAGAATCGTAAGCGTACACATGGTAACATTGCCGAAACACGAATTCCATGGACACAGCTGGAAAAGGATAAACTCTTTGAAGAGGTACAAGATGCGATTAGAGTCGGTGAGACAAGACATACGATTGACTGGGATGAGATCGCAGACAGACTCAGACAGAGATTCGATGGCTTTGTACAGAAGAAGGGATCTAAGTTGGCACCAGGAGTTGAGAGAGAACTAAAGAATGGCAAGAAAGATAGAAGTAAGTTAATATTTCCTTGCTGCTTTTGTGTGATTGGAAACTTGAAGGGCCGTGAGGCCCGGGTTGCGATTACGGATTCACTTTATTCTTGAGATATGATAGCTAACTACTTGCTTCACAGCTCTCAAGACTAGTCACAGCGACCGCGTAGGTTACAATCGCACTGGCTCTGCAACGGAGACACAAGCCTTGAAATACCCAGATATTCTCAAGTTGATCAATGATGCAACTGGAATTGGTGGAAAGGGAGGACGTGGCATGCTCAGAGGTCCCTATCGACCCCCGCAAGCTGCTGGTGACGAGAAGAAAGAATCCAACAGTCAACCAACAAAGGAAGACACGCGCGTCGCCCGCAGCAGCTTTTCACAGGCTATTAATGATGAACAAGATGAGGATGACGATTCACCAACAAAGAAACACAAGAGTAGGGCTTCCGGCACGATGTATAATGCGCCGACCAAAGAGCTTAATCCGTTGGCAAAGCGAACTCTGGACCTTCCTAGCAAGAGATTTGTGCACATGTTCGATGATGTATATGATACAGGAAATGGTCGTGCAGCAAAGAAGCCAAAGATTATTCACCGTCGCTATTCAAGCAGCCCACCTCCTCGTATGTTAAAGAAGCACAACGATAATGAAGAGGATGATGGATCACCACCTTCAACATCCCAACCATCTGCATTGAACACTGCGTTTGGGTTGAAGCTTCCCAAGAGTAGTGCAAAGCAGTTTGACGCCACTTCAGGCAGGAAATAGGCTATTTCTAAATCCATGCCGGTGGAATTTCTACTACGTGTTGATACCCAGCATGCTTGTCTTGTAATCCTTCTTGACAAACAAATTGTTGCTCAGCCTCTGTCTTCTTGGTGTTTCGCTTTGGGGTTCTCTCAATTTCCAGTCACCAATCGACACATTGAGAAACACAAAACTTCCACCGCAAATTCTCAAATGTACAACTACTGTTTCCCGACAATACAAATTCATCACTGTTTTCGCACAGATTCCATTCAAAAAAAAGCTCACGCGAACATTTTCCCCAGTTATTCTCATCCATAAGGAGACAGTTCTCATGAAAAATGATGACACCAGCCCCCAAATTCGGCACTCGGCAATTCCACACAGCACAAAATTTCATTCATTTCAGGTTTAGGTACGGCGATACGGTATGGTACATAGCGATATGGATATGGTAAAGATTACAAAAACAGATAATCTCGATGGCGTGCATACAGCTTTTATTATTCTTCATGATGCAATAAGGTTGGGATATGTATGATAGTCAGAGATTATGGAGCACATTTACGATTATGAGGTAATTTTCTTTTCTTTATCTGGGCTCGGGTTGGGTTTGTGCTTTGTCTCTATTTATGATAGTGTAGGATAATTAAATCGATGAAGAAAATGTTTTTATTGAATTTGTGATGTGCTTTGTTCTTGCTTGTGACGTGTTGGGAAGTGATGGTATGGGAAAAATACCTAGGTAGGTATGTGATGACCCCTTTTTGTCCGCTTATGCACCTGCTTTTGTGAAAGTTCGGTCGGGTATTCAGTCCTTCATCACACATGGGATTTGTATCACATATCTACTTGCTAAGTTCATCTCTTATTTAGAGGTATGTGTTTCTATAAACTTGTACAAATCCTATCAGACCCGTCTATTTGCAGCATGGATAATGGTTGAAATCCGTGATAAGGGTAGCATGACGAAGAGGTGGATCCGCGATCGTATGTAGGGAGGAATCTTCGAGGAATCTTTCCCAGCATAGAATGGACAGAAAATGAATTAGAGAAGAGAGAGGATTTCTTGTGACTACAAAATAATCTAAGATTTTTATAAGATAATCATCATGTATATATCGCGATGGGAAACGAAGGACCACAACGCGGGAAAATGTTGTGGTTAAAACTATCAGATTCCAGTGCTAGAGAGCAGACAACTTGCGAGTGGAAATTGGAAGGCGGGGTATGTGAGGAATCATGGATTCGTTCCCCAGAAACTAACATTAAGCCAAAAGGGCTTGGAAGGAAGGGGGAAGTGAAACATATATATGCGCGTTAGACGTATGTATTAAATCCTCACACTCGGTCAAACTGAAATGATGGTGAGATCAATAATCTACAATTCGTTCAAGTTTCACAGCGAGTCTTGTGTTGTAATAAGCTCAAATTCAAGTAAAAAAAGGTTGGATAATTGATTCTGGATATTATATATTATATGTTAAAAGAGTAATTATATACAAGAACGTTACGATTACATTTGCGATGAGCTGTGTGCAGGCACTCTATTCATTCCCATGTTCCGCTCTCTATTCCTCTTTTTCTTTCTCTTTCTCTTTCTCTTTCTTTCTTTTTCTCTCTTGGAATTCTATAACTTCCTCCTTCTATCTTTATACACACATATACATACTCCCATCTAGACTCTTCCTTTTCTGATTTTCTAATCTAATACTCATCTTCTTCCTCTTCTTCATCTTCATCTTCCTCGTCATCGTAGTAACACACATCTTCGTCATCGTCGTTTTCATCCTCATTTCCAGTAGTACTGGAAGCGGCTGCAGCGGAAGTAGTGGTTGTTGTTGTGGAGATGGGGATTGGGATGGAAGAGTTGGTGAACATTAGGATTGGAACTGCTGAGGGGAGGGTTGGGGTTTGAGAAGTGGTTGTGGGGATAGAGATGGAGGAGTTGGTGTATACCAAGGTTGGGGCTGCCGAGGAGGGGTTTTGGGGTGGAGTGGTGGTTGTATTGGTTGGAGAGAAGGTTGGGATTGAGGTTTGGGTCTGGGAAGTACTGATGGTTCCATTCGTTGGAGCGAAGGTTGGGATTAAGGTTGTGGTTGCTGAGGAGGGGATTTCGGAAGTACGAATGGTTGTATTAGTTGAGGAGATGGCGGATTTTGAGGTTGGGGCTTGGGAGGTGATTATTGTTGTATTGGTTGGAGAGATGACGATGTTGGAGGTGCTGGCAGCGGCTGAAGAAATTTCAGAAGTGCTAGTGGTTGCGGCTGCCGATGGAATTTCTGAAGTACTGGTACTGGTGGTTGTAGCGGCTGAAGGAATGGTGACGACTGAACTACTGGCAGCAGCAGATGGAGTCACAGTCGAAGTATAAACGACTTCAATCGTAGACGTAATTGTCTCGTAAGAAACGTCTGTTTGGAACGCAGTGCTCGTGACCACACAAGGATTAGTGGTCAACTGCACAATGTTGAACACGCTTGCAGCAGCTGGTGCTTGAGTGACTGGTCCATTATTCAAGAAGCACTCATAAAGAGCACCAATAGTGGTAAACACAATTCCGTTACATGAACTGGCAGATGTTTTCAAATTGTTGAGAGCATTGCAGATAGACACACAGATAGAAGTGGCAGCTGCTCCAACGGGCTCGACATAGGCACGAATAACAGTTCCACCAATGAGTGATGCACCGCATTGCTGAGAATAATAGTTGCCTCCGGTCAGAGACCAAACTGCGCCGGCCGAGCAAGTGCCTTTTGGGATTACGCTATCTACATTACAGGTCGTCGCTGTAGTGATAACTGGGTAGGCAGTAGTAATGGTGTTGGTGACTGTACTAAGAGTGGTCGATGTGACAGCAACTTCCGAAGGACTGACAGCTTGTCGTGGAGCGACGACAACAGCCTGACTCAAGCCGGTTAAGGCAGACAGAATGACTAAAACTCTCATATTGAATGACTGAGAACAGTTTAAAAGAAAGAAAGATACAATCAAAGATAAATGAGTGGATGAATTGAGAGAGGAATGGATATGGGATATCTAAAGAGAGATGACCTAATCTTTGTATAAAAATGATTCTGGGAACCAAGTTCAGCTCTACAGTCCCAAGGAAAACAATCACAATTGCACTAAGTATAGATAGTGCGATACTACTAGTATGCGAGCACGTTCTGGTCCCTTGGAGAGCAGGGTAAGATTGTTTGCGGGGGCGAGCCGTGTTTTCTTGCCAGAGCCACAAGGCAAGCATGGCATTTGTGTACTTTTACACATCACATAAAGTTTCCTGCAGTATCGTGAGTTATTCGTTAGTTTGGCCGGAGTGATACTCGAGGGAATACCTTCTCTGATACCAATTCATTATGTTTCTATTCTTTCACTGCCTCCTAGAAAATACCAGAGCACGTAGGGAACGGAACATCTGGAGGACCCAACAGACAATGTGGCCCCTGGCTAGCTACTTATATCCCGCTTTGAGAGCCTTCACGCTTTTCTTGGCCCCAGAGTAACGGATGAGCAATCCCATTCGAAGCGCCAACATAGTCACTTACCATGTCAAAACCTTCATTATTTCCCAATCCGTCTCTAGCTTCTTTCCATCCTCAAGAGAGAATACCATAAGAAAAGTAGATTAATTCGTGAATGTTCACCAGAATGGGATATCTGTGGATCTGGGGCTGATTGTGGCTTGCTCATTCATTGCTCTTTAGTCCGTTTTGGTAGAAGAGAGAAATTTTTAAGATTGCAATACTTTTGTCCCGCGTCTAGATTCTTCGTTTGTTTTCCCCTGAATCTATTCTCCACGATTCGCTGGGTGATCAAAGCGCTGGGATCGCCGTGATTCGTCGATCTTTGTATCTTGTGGTTTTGATTGGCTTGTTACGAGTGATAATGCTCCATATCATAATCATGTGATTCCATTTCTTCAATGTCAATGTAGGTATGGATCGTGTTTAAATCTTCTTTTCAAGCTTAATGAAGGAAGAAACTAGGATGGAGTTGTAGATAACGGAGTAACGACGATGGTTTACCAAGTAATAAGCTTCAAGTAGGAAAATCTAAAGATGTCACGTTTCGGCTGAGATTCGGCATGAGGTGCATGAGCTAGTTCACTTCAATTCGAACATTGACTTCAAGGCCGTCTGAACCACATTTTCTTTCTGAATGTAGACTACCTACAATATCGATCCTTCGCAATGAACAACAGAGATTCAACTGCTCATATGCTGCACCATACATCTGCAAGTTCCAACGAGAAAATTCAAGCATACCCCAATGGAGAACCCCATCGCGCTCAACTACCATTAAACCCAGTGTTGTACATATCTGCACTATCTTATCATTAGACCAATCTTATCATACCAAATTAAGTCTTCCAAAGTAGCACAATCCTATCGACCAAAGGAATACAGCCCTAAATCGTTCCGACGGAAGCTGTTGTGTCGAATTTGCTCAAGATCCGAGGTCCTTAGTGTGGCAGTCCCGTCATTGGCGATGTTCAGGACTGGACGAATAACAGAAAGAGTAGCGAAAATTCCAACATGAAACTAGATGACCATCGAATGAAGGCCGCAAAGTGTCGTACAGGTTTGATGTTTTCATTGACTCTTCTCCGAGGGGTTCTTGCCGTAAGCTTGATCTGATTTTCTACGCTTCATGAGAGGCTCCTTATCCGAAGAGTCATCAACACTATCCACCTGCATCTTATCGATTCGTGTGGAAGAAGATTCAACACCTGAACGTTCTTCCTTGTCCACTACTTGCCTTTCAGTATTGCGCGCGGCACAGGCAGTCGTGCTAGCCCCGAAAGATGAGGGAGGATCTTGATGGGCATCCTGAATTATCTTGAGCATTTCGTCTATAGACTTGCGCTTGCTGGGATGTTCTATGCTGTTTCGAAGTAATAGGTCGATATCACCAAACTTGGTAGCCTGGTTCATACAACCAGATGCATTTCGATCGGACCCGGTTCTATCTTTTTTGATCTCGCAGCATCTTTTGGTTTTGTAATCTATTCGTTGCGT